CAAAACCTTAGATGTCTCGTCGACCCAACTATACAATAGACTGGTACTTCCAGCTATCTCCGTACAAACGATCAAGGACAACTCAGAATCTTGCCCTTTCAGAGAGACAAACAATCTACCTCGATAAGGCAGTTTCCTTATCGTGCCCTACAACACTCCACACGTCACCGACACCAATACTAGACCCCCGTAAGGAAGGTTTTAGTATTAAAGGCATTGATCGCCTGTTTCCAGTTGCCTATCGGTCGACTAAACTTAACCCAGCCCAATCTCGGTATCACATTTTTTTTACTTGGAAACCAAGGCTATTGCTTACGGTGTTGATAAAGATGAAATGACTATCACACTAAACCACCACCCCATTAACATATGGACCGACCATATGTCTGTTATTTCTTTCTTTAGTCCACATATAAAGTTTTCTATGGTATATCTACTCGGGGTGATAGACTCTTTCGCCTTGTGGAGAAGGTCCGACGTCATGACATTAACATCAGACACATTCTTGGTGATTGTAATTTTGTGACTGACATGATGTCTCGCGCTCCTACACTTCTTGATCCCATTATGTTACCTGCTACCCCACGGGTTACGTGGTCTACATCTCTTGTGACCCCTCCACCACTCCTTGTGGTAACACTACGCCCCCATCCCACTGCTTATTCACAAGAACTCAAGCTTAACCCTGCATGGTCCACACTTCTTGTCCAATGATGGGGGGTCCTCAATTTGATCTCTATGCAAGCCCACAGAACTATTGTGGTCAGCAAGGTGGAACTATGGGCTATACTGCTGCAACTGCCCCTTTGGAAAATGCTTTCTATTTAGTTGACCCACCATGGTCTAAGTACCCAGCGTTCTTCCGGCGTTTTTGTCGACCTACGACTTCGAAAGCTATGGCTATTTTACCGTATTGGACTACAGCCCCTTATCTGGCAACTTTTTTTAAACATCTTATTGATGTTCCTATTTCTATCCCACATACTGAGGACACTTTCCTCTTTGATGGTCAACGTCCTTTAGGTTTTCCCCCTTGGGATTACACTATTGCTGGTATTATATCAACACCTACTCCTAGCAATCCTTTACCCCTTCCAATCTCTTCTGGAACTCTGTTGGTGCCAAAGGCCCTCCTCAAAATGTTCCTAACCCCGTTTCAACGCCGCTACTCCCTGTGACGGCTTTAACCAAACGCAAGCCTTTACGAAGCAAGGTGGACCCTGAACAAGAAGTCTATTTAGGCAGCGCTCTTTGTGAATCCTTTCAAGAAACACGGAAGTGGCGTTGGCCAAAGAGTGTCTCGGCATCCTCCTTAACAACTCCTCTTGGTTCGATGCCTTCGCTGGCCTCCAGTCCGAGCAATGTGCCACTAGACCGGTCCGCCTTACCTGTGGCTCCTGACCCTTCTACGCAACAGCTGCCTCCACCCGCTTTGCCGGGCACACAGTCCCCTCCTCCTCCTCCTGCTAATGTACAGACGCCTGCTTCTACTACTGTTTCGGAACCGGATGGGGACCCTGTGTCGGACGATGATCCGATGAATGACCCGGGAATCGTCCCTTCCCACCTTGATCCCCTTCCGTTGGATTGTGTTCAGGAATCCCCACCTACTTATTCTCCTTTGGGATATATTTTACCACCGCCACATGCAAGCCACCCTTATCCAATTTCGCCTGGCCTTACTGGTGATGAACGAACCACTACTGTCAAGACAACATCTACTGTCGTCCGTCGTCTACACACTACTAGAAACGAACCATTATCTTTGCCTCAAGATATGGCTGCTCTCTCTAAAACACCTTACAAGGTCAATACTCGAATGATTCCCCCTCACCGAGTCCTCCGTATCATTTGGTCTTTACCTCTTAATCGAGGGCATGCTCGTCCTGTTCGCCTCGCCCGAATGCTTTCTGATCTTTTTACTTGGACAGTCTCCCCCGATTTCTTGCTTCGCCTCTTAAATACTGGGTGTGCTTGTGAAGGAGTTGAACCTGGCCCTACCATGGGGCTCTTGACGCAACTAACCTGTGGTACTTATTTTGGTGCTGTTCAACACCTTGATTTCAAGGTTATGAAAGAAACCTCACGTGGTTTTCGCTACCAATTATTCTGCATTGATGAGCACACTCGCTACGTCAACAGTGCATCCATGCGTCATGATGAGAAATCTGCTTTTGATGTTATCCAACAACTCAAACAACAGTCAGAGCAATTGGCCTATACTGCTGAATATATCGCTGATGTTGACAGAATAGCCAGCTCTTTACTGATTGGTGTGCGGAACAAGGTACTAATTGTCACATTGTCTCGACTGGTGATCATCGGCATAACGGCCTTGCATAGAAACTCATAGATACGTATCTCGTATGGATTGAACGTAATAAGTTTATTGATGCTTGGGACATTGAGAATTGGAAGTTCGCACGAGATTACAACTCTACTGTCAACACCATTACTAATGTCGCACCATATACTTTGGTTACTGATCGTCAGTTTCACCACCCAAACAACCGCGATTTAGAGCTTATTCTAAATGAGGACCGATCTCCTAGTGATCCTTTTATTACTTTGATCCCTCAACCAACTGATGCTGATCGTACTGTGTGGGCGCGTAACCGCCGTGCCCAAGCCTCCCAAGCTCAATACACCGCCTTGTTCTTTACAAACTGAAACCTACCCTTTCTCTGACCGCACCCTATGGGGTGGTCCTGAACGGGTGATTTCGCTTGATCCTCCGGTTATGCATGTTATCCAAGATTGTGCTACTTTTAAAAAGTATCGAGTACATCGTTCTAAACTCAAAGCATACCGTGAACCTATTGGTACACCTGCCCCTAATATCCCCGGTACACGAGGAAATTATGTTTATGCGCATTGGCTATTCTACATTCGTCCGTTTACGGATGCCCCTGGGTATGACAAAGCTCATTTAACTGCCGCCTTTAAAGATTAGCCTTCTGCTACTGTTTTTCGTTGCAAAAGTAATGGCGCTTTTCACGCTTACTCTTCTCTTGCTGCTGTCCATCGCCATGATGTTAGCAATTCTACTATTTCCGATGCGGATGTTGCTTTTCTTCAAGCCCATTTACCTGCTTCCCGTGTCACCACTCTGAAGTCAGCTTTGAAATGTGCTTACACACTCTGGCTACTAATCCAGTTTAACGCGCCTCTCAATTATTAGAGTGGTGTACCAAACTTTCTTCTACTTCTTCTACACCACCTTTGTAACTGCCCCCTACACGACTTTTTCTGCCTCTATTATTCTCATTACCTGGCCAATTTTTATTCTCTACCCTCCAGCCACAGTTTTCTATCCGATTTTTCTTCTCTAAATCGGATTAAAACCTGGTGGCCTTGTGGGTATTCTTCCTGAGTTTGCCCTTGGAAAAACCTAAACCTTCGCGGAAACTTTCGGTTGCCCTTTTGGCGCGCCACTTTCGTGTCGTCCAACGGGATTCGCACTGATCGCCGCCAGGAGTATAAATAGTGAACACGGCGGTTGCTTCGGGTCACTTTCTTACTATGAACTAAAGCAACCGACCTTAGGTCAATAAACTTAGACTCCCTAAACTCATTACGTGTACATTACGTGTCACTTTACGGTGCCTTCACAATTGTCAAGAATTGAAATAGAGGGTTGTGTCAAAAAGCTATGATTCCCTATTTTTTTTGTAAATAACTGAATAAAAACTTAGCATAATTTAAAAAGGGGGGAGGGGGGGAGGGGGTCCTCCCGCAGTATGTATTTAAATAGCAGGCTAAATATTAAATATGACAATTAAAGTTTATTTTTCTTTAAATATATATTAACGATCAAAGTCATATACACTGAATGCAGTAACAGCTAAATATGACAATTAAAATTATTTTTTTATATTAAAATATTACACGAGTAGCGAGCGAAGCAAGCGATTTCAAAGTATCAATATTTAAATATTACCATTTCGACATTAATACACAAGTAGCGAGCAAAGCGAGCGGATCCAAATTGTCAATTTTTTTAAACTAGCTACGAGGGAACAAACTCAGTCAATTCATGATGTATAAAAACGCTTTCGCCGGTGCCATCCCCGTCCAGGAGCCATTAGCTATTAAAAATAAGGTTGCATCTGAAGAAGAGTTATAAATAAATAAAAAGACTTACTGTATTGGATTTTGGAGATTGGCGGGAGGACCAAAATCTGTAAGTAGTAGTTCAGATATTATGAAACTAGTTTTTAGAATCCTACATCTACTAATGTCTCAAATAGATCCAAGTCGTACCAAATACTCAGGCTATTGGAGCCATCAAATTGGATTTGGATAACTTTGGCAATATTACAAAGAGAACTTGTATTAAAGTATTTTAAATACAAACAAACCCCAATGGTTTTCTCATTTGATCTTGAAAAATTTAGACTGACCGGAGGTCGTATAACTACATCAGTGCGCACGCGATATTGGGCCGGGTCATGTTGCCAGCAAACCCGAGGGCACCAAGGACTTTACGACATTTTCCGTGGCAGATATAACCAGTGAGTGTACCGAGATGGTCACCAGTGCTAGGAGTGTTTGAAGTCGTTGAATGCCTGGTCCATGCGCTCAGTAGAAGCATCTTGCATAGTTGCGATGGTACCGGAGGGATGCTGGACAATACTCACAAGGCCGACGAGATGTCACGAAAGACCCGGGTTCTTCATGCTATAAATGAGGGAAAGGTAGTCGTAGAGTCACTGTTCGTGGCCTGAGTCGCGAATAACTGTAGAGTGGTGCCATATGTTCTCGTCCTGTTGGCTTTCTAGAAAACCAATATGCTGAAGGGTATGACCGATAACCTGATTAAAAAGACTGCCCGCTTGTGTGAGGCCGTAGAACGGAGGAGCTTCAAGACACTTATGAGGGGTGTTAGTGTCCGAGTTCGACACTACCCTTCGGTGGGAACATGTAAATAGGGGTATCGAGCTTAGAGTATATGTATGTGGTGTTAACGTCGAAGTGGTGGACGATACAGGTCTGAGGGAATGTGGATAGGGGTTGGTGGGTTTGGTATTAGTAGGGGGATTGAGATGGGAGATGGAACGGGTGGTATCGTAGCGGTAGTGGCAAGTAGAGGTATAGCTCTGGGCATGGGGGATATACCCTCAGATGAATGCGGTGCTGCTGGTGTACTGGAGGGTGCCGGCGGATGGAGCAACAAAAGGGAGCTCGGTATCCGTATATTAGGAGACAGAGGCTCAGGCAGCAAATATCTCTCATGTGGAGGAGTTAGAAAAGCGAGTCGTGCCCTTGCCATTGGAAATCCATTGAGAGCGTTCGTCTGTGAAGAACTGAACATCACGACTGTGGATGATCTGTTGAGTTGCAAAGCTCTGGTTGAGTGTATATTCCAGTAGAACGCCGAGCTCACATTGGGCTAAATTCTTATGGAGTGGGGGCTGTCTGGATGACTTGTGTACATCGTAGGCCACAACACAGCCGAAGAACATATATGCGGGAACGTTCAAATGCGGTGGAGAGAAACAACCCGAGAGTACTTAAGGGGAGTTCGGTTGCGAAGGGTGTCGGCGAATTGTTGGACATACCCCAGAGGGGAAAAGGCATGCCGGCTCGAGAAGTAAACATCGAGTAAGGTTGCTAAGTGTGGCGTGCTGTTGACTGTAGCGTTCATCTGGGGTGCGTGCGGGGGTGACACAAAGCCCGATGCACAGAGACGTACAATGGTCGTTGACGAATGTACTTTTCATGACGGAGTCGCCATCGGCAGTTAGGGTGTGTGGTTTCCAGTGTCGAGGGATGCGCGTCAGAAGTTCATCTGTAGACTATACGTACGCTATTCCGGTCGACTGGTCAACTCTTTCTACTACTGAAACTTTGCTGATCCCATTTGCACCCTCATACTTGCCTTCTCTTGCCCCCACTACTTCTGCACTAATACAATCCCCCCCTTATCTTCTATTCCGCCTGGTGCCCCCATCTTACACAGTGATATCCCACCGGCACCATCTCCCATCCCTATTCGCCTCATCCCACCGACTCCTACCCCTATTTCAATCCCCGCTATTTCCTTACAACCTACCTCCGCTCGTCGGCAGTTAGGGTGTGCGGTTTCCCAGTGTCGAGGGACGTGCGTCAGAAGTTCATCTGTCGGCTGTACGTACGCTATTCCGGTCGACTGGTCAACTTTTCTACTACTGAAACTTTGCTGATCCCATTTGCACCCTCATACTTGCCTTCTCTTGCCCCCACTACTTCTGCACCAGTACAATCCCCCCCCGCCTTATCTTCTATTCCACCTGGTGCCCCCACCTTACACAGTGATATCCCACCGGCACCATCTCCCATCCCTATTCGCCACAGCCCACCGGCTCCTATCCCTATTTCAATCCCCTCTATTTCCTTACAACCTACCTCCGCTCGCCCTGCTCCGATCTATTGTACGCCTGCCCGTAATGATAATATTGACCTGTCTACTGATGCGTCTCCGTCCCTTTGATCCTCTTCTTCAGATGTTTCGTCCTGCCACTTATGAGCACATGCTCGATGCCGAACAACCGCCGCAGTCATTCACCCAATCCTGCGCGTGCTAATACCGTTAAGCATACTTCCCCTGAATCCTTCGACCATATGCTCACTTTTCTTGAGCAACACAGCTTTATGGTTACCTCTATTCCAATGAGTCTTGTTCAGGTCCAGAATTTCCCAGAGTAGCCGGCATGGGACACTGCTACCAACAATGAGTACAAGGCTCACATTACTATCAACTTATATGATCTTGTTCCTCGATCCCAAGTTCCTTCCGATGTTGAGAATATTCACCGTAAGTATGTACTTACGAGAAAATACGATGAGAATGGAGTACAAACTATCTTTAAAGCCCGTATAGTGGTTAGAGGCGACGAGTAGAGGTATGGTGACTCCTACTTAGAAACATACGCGCCTGTCGCCTCTACAACCTCTATCGCCCATGCTGCTTCTGAGGGTCTCGGGGTTTAACATCTCGACGTCGATACTGCCTTTTTGCACTCTTTATTGGACACTGTGGTCTACATGGCTCCCCCTAAATGCAGTGTTAAGCCGAATTTATGTCCTCGCGATATGGTTCTCCAGCTGAAATGGGGCCTTTATGACCTCATGACATTGGTTCTCAAGCTGAAACGGGGCCTTTATGACCTTATGACATTGGTTCTAAGCTCGTTAATTGAACTTTTCCGAAGCCCAGCCGAATAATGTGCCTATGTCCATAATACACGCTAGATGGCTGTCGTCCTTTATGTTGACGAGGTCGTGTCTGCTGTCAAACCTGATTTAGTTGATACCGCCTAGCTCCTACGTTAATTATATAACACTACCCTTTCAAAATCTAGGCCGTGCCCGCTATTTTCTCCGTCGCTTTTGATTGCTCAACATGCTTCGTTGAATCCTCTGCCTATTTTGGTAAATACCGGAAGATTCTCGGGGCCCATGGCTCTGTCGCCAACATAACCCGTGTTGATATTACAGCCACTCTCATTCAGCTCGCAGTTTATAAAGCCAAACCGACAATTGCTCATGCTTAACCATGTTCTGAGCTACCTTGCTAATACGTCCCACTACCCCCTCACGTACCATCCATATCAAATTTCATCGCCCTTAGTGATAGTCGCGTTGGAATCAGGCTGGCTGCTCAACTTCACGCAAATCTCAGACTGGCATTCTCCTTTGCTACAATGGTATCCCAGTCTACTGGAAGTCGCAAAAACAAAAGACTGTGGCCCTTAGCTCGTGGGAGGCCCAGTACGTTGCCGCCTCTGAGACCGCCAGAAATAAAGCCTGGCTCCGGAATAAAGTCGGTTCCCTCACTACATCCCTTCCTCGCCCAACGGTTCTTCACATTGATGATCTATCAGCCTTGAATATTGTACTTGGAACCGGCACGCCGAAGGGCCTTAAGCACTTTCAAATTCTAAATAGATTGTATAGGTAAGGGAGAGGTTATCATAGAGCCACTGTCCATGGCCCGAGTTGTGGACAACGGCAGGGACTATCTCGTCGACATAGATGAAGAGTATGATGTCACGAACAGGGTGAGTCCAGATGTTCTCGTCCTGTTGGCACTGAATGAAGCCGAGATGGCGGAGGGTCCGTAGTAGCCCCGGAGGAGCTTCAGAACAGCGTTGGGGGGTAGTGTCCGAGTTCGACACTCCCCTTTGGATGAAACATATAAACAGGATTATCGATTTTGGAGTAGAGGTATGTTGTACAGACATCAAAGTGGTGGACGGTGCGGTTCTGAAAAGCAGCGGTGGAAGTCGCAGTTGGGGCGTAAGTGTCCCAGAAAGAATCACCGTGCCGTTGTGCGTCACCGTGTAATAGCCGGGCCTCCACATTAGACTCTATGTTATAAACGTACTTTTAAGCAGTACGTAAACTATAAACGTACTCTTAATAGTACGAGGAACTTCAGTTTCCTAAATGGTTTTTAACGGTTTTATTAATTAATACCTTTTCCATTTTACATATCAGATATTTGGACAAGGCCATTAAAAGGTCCCAGTAAAATACCAAAAATAATATTTGGTCTAGTTCTATTAATAGAACTATATTTACTTTCCAAATCTATTTATATCTGAATACTTCGGTAGCGAGATGGCTCAACCGAATATAGGTTTCTAAGGACTATTAGCATTACCTAGTTTAACCTCCGATCTGCCAACCAGATGTGCCAGTCTGATGAAGACTAAGTCGGTAATTCTTGATAAGTGGCAAGTTGTTGGTTAATGCAATAACAAAGGACATCAAGAGTTTTTTTCTTTCTTTTTTCTTTTCTTTTTTCTAAAAATAGGATTTTATGAGTCTCTCGGATTCGCCCCAACGAAACATACCCTAGTTTCTCATAGAGCGACAACGAAGCACTAAATAAAATCCCTTCGGCGAAAACAGTAATGAGAGGATTATTTATAGGCAATGTCTCAGCCTCACAATCCCTAAGAGTATTGCTGTTTTCACGAGGCATACCTA